TTTAAACCAATATCTAATTTATGTCACAAAAACAGGTTAATTGCAATGGGATAGAACAATATCTGCTCTAGGGGGCCACGATAAGGTACCCACTGAGTCACTGAGGGGAGGAATATATTTGTCTGTTTAGGATTTGATGTAGTGTTGTTTTTTCTTTAATTTCCGGGAAGAGGGATTAAAAAAGAAACGTTTGATCATTTAGAACAAGGGTGGTCTCTGATTACATCACAAACTTAATTTTTATCTTTCTCTACCTTAAACGGCGCTGTTTAGGTTTATTTACTGTTGGCTAAATAAAATAAAACAGAATCTGGTGTTTGCAGGAAAAGTAAAAATTATTGTCACTAGTCAAGGGATTTAAGGAAAAATGAAGGAAAGAACATAGTGATAGAATTTTCATTCATAATTATCTCAACATGTTATTCTGATTAAGGTAATACAAAAAATAATATACACAAATTATTAGAAATACAATTTTTATTCACATCATAATGAATGTTGCAATTTTTAAAGTTCATTGTACAATTCAGTATGGAACAATTTTGCTATACCTTTTTAAAAATAATAAATGACAAATTAGTTAATTACAGCAGGTTTAAAATTGTTTAATGCCCCTTACCTTTGTGGTAAATTTAATCCTATTACTAGAAATGCAACTACTAATAATATAGAGTCTGAAGATCATCAAGGGAGTAAATGTAAAGAATAAGTGTTGATAAGGAACCAACATTGTAACTCAACTTCAAATGTTACATATAAACTTTCTTAGCTTTCATCACCAAATATATTTATCTACTTTTATCTATCTGTTCACATTGCTATTTTAAAGCATATGATCCAGAATGACATAAATAACTAAAATTGGGTTCCGTAACACATATTCAGTACCATGACTTGCCTCTAGCAGACTAGCAATGATAAAAAGATTGTGTCTGAGCATAAGATGGTGGATGGCTGTGATGGAAGATCCCATCTCCTCAAAGTATTAGCTCATAGAAAAAAATTAAAATGGCACACACTGATGACCTTTTCTTTCACCCAGTTCTATCAAACCAAGTAGGTGATCCATCGTCTCTAAAGTGGTGATTAAAAAGAAACAGATTGGGAATTATTCAAAATATTTCCACCTGGAATCAGCAACTCTATGCTGCTTGTTTAGCCAAAGCTGTGTGAAAGAAAATACACATTGCTTTTGCACCATTTAGTTCTTAGCACCATTTAGTTCAAAGCCTAGTTGCCCTAGTTAGTACACATTTTGATCGCAAATACATTTGTTTTCCCCTTGTTAGAAATAAAAACGAAGATGTTAACCGTAATAGCATTTATTTAAATACTCTTACCTGCCTGAAAAGCAGAATGAAAAAAGCAACATTAGGCTAGCAGCAGTAAAGTATTTGTTGTTGCTTCAAAAAGTTACATGATGGTCATGGGTAACAGAATAAAAATAAATGTAAAATTTGTGACAAAGAAAATAAAAGGGATCTGTAACAATACCAAAGCAACCAGCTCCAGTGCATTGTAAAAATCAATAGTAAAGATCATTAAGCTCTTAAAGCAAACATTGTCATATCTGATCAGCAAAATGGAGAATGATCATCCCAAAAATTGTGCAGATTCAGTAAATCTTCTGATGAATGCTAATAGCTTATTTAATGATTTCCTCCCATGTTCATGATACAAATACCTTGCATGACAAGATGTCCATTAATTTTAGCATTCATTAGAAATGGCATTTGTATTTGTTTAATGTGTTATGTTCCACAAAGTTGCAATCACTAAAAGAAAATTTGATCTCCTTTAATAAGATTTATTTTTAAATATTTTTTTATTACAATTTACAATAATAAAACATTTCAAGTAATAAAAGACTCAAGTTTGATATGAGATTTACTTGGTACCCTGATGTAACAACAATTTACGGGATTTAATTCATAAGACCAAAAACAAATACTGACTTTTGTATTGTGTCAGATGACATACCAAATTCCTGCTACCAGTGAACAGGAATAATATCATAATGTGAAATTGTGTCAAGTTTTGACTAATCGGTCGACAGTCAATAACAAATATTCCTTAAGTGAATTTCCATCTGTGGATCCTGTAGATTTTAATTGATGGAGCTGTGACTAGCCTCAAGGGAATCAAAATTACACACCAGCCACAGCAACGATAAAACTTTGCACATTGACTGAACTCCCTTTAATTTTTTTCTTCAGAATTTAACCCATTTAAATACATTAATATTAAATGGATTTCTTTATAAAAGAAAGCAGGCACAGAAGAAAAACCTAACTCCAAGAGAACACATTAAAGTAAGGGAAGTGACTCAGTATGACTAGGCAAGCCAATAAAGCTTGAGAAGGGTGGTGGGAGGTATGGTGCCAAACAGCATTCATTATCTTTATCTAGTAACTAGTTGCCTTGATGATGTGTCTCTATAACTTTAAGCAGATATATATTTGTACTGGCATAAAGTAACATTCTCTCTAATTCTATTTCATGGGTTGATGTCTTGTAAAACTGATGTTTCATGATTCAGGGCATAGTCTTTTCTTGACATCTTTAACAATTGATAGTGACACCAGCAATTTTTTTTAAACTAGTGGAATGTTCAAATGAGTGGTCCATTCCTCCTTTAAATCTGCTTTATTTTAACACTTTAAAATGTGGTCCTTGAAGTTTGCTTAATTTTAACACTTAATAATATGTGGTCCTTGAAAAAACAAATTGGAAGGATACTGAATCTGTTAAAATGAAATGTTTTTGGAACTTCTTTGACTGTTCTGTGTCTACATTCTTAATAAGTCAGTAGAAGTATTGAGTATTTATGAGCACTGGAAAGAGCAAACATGATGAGGTGTTTTGGCAAAGGGATCATATATGAAAAATGGGAAATAAGTCGCACAACTGTTGGTAGACGCTAAGCCAGTAGTATCATATAAGGAGCATAGTGGAGTTTCAGGATTATTTCCATCGCAACAGAAATTCAACAAAATATATGGCATCAGTCAATGGAAATCACAGTTCAAACCATAAAATAGTAACAAACATTTTGGAATATTGAAATACAAAAGTAGAGACATTTGATTGCTGGTAGAACTGCCTCTATCAGAATATTCAGAGCTAGACTGATATTGAATGGCTGAATTCATTTCATGTTGCCAGAAAAGAAAGGACATTGCCCATTTAACCATTTTTTTCAAAGATTTGATGATTCATCACACTGAAGAGTGTGGTATGATCAATGTCAGGGAAATGGCTGGGCAGTGCCAACATGAAACCAACATAAATACAGAATATTTAATTCCTAAACTAATTAACAAGTTTGACCAATTGAAAATACTGCTGAATCTAGAAATAACAAGGTCGCCGACATTTTTGGGAAAACAAGTCCATATTCTTTTGTTTCTGGATAAAATAATAAGAGGTTTTCCCCAGACAGTGTTATCAATACAGATTGTGTGAGTTTAGCCAGCACTCACTTTTTAATAGTTATAGAGCCCCGGGCTAAGTTATTGTGAGCAAAAGATATAAAATTTACATTACTAATTGTTTCTGAGATTCAAACTCGAGCCAAATTTAAAGTGTTTTGGTTATTTCTCTGTGACATATCGACGAAGTTGGTATTAAAAAAAAATATAAATGGTTAGCTTTCGTTGGGTACCAACAAATACTATTTACGTTGGAAAGCAGATTTATGAGCCATTTTTAATTGATAAATTGGGGATCGTACTATTGTAGTCCTTTTATAACGGGAAGTAAGCCATCACCAGTACAGAATAAAGCGTTCTGAATTTCCAAGTCTAAAAAAATTCTAAAACAGATGCATACCGGTCCTATCAAAAACAAAATTCTTGTGATTTTTAAGTAGGCAATAAACAGAATGACTGTTTATACTTGCTTTTGAAAATTAAATACGACGTTTTAAAGTCCATGACTTAACACTGACATGAAAGGAAGGCAAACAGGAGCGATCTCAGAGTAGATCGCATCCGAAACTTAAAAACAAGAATGCAACAATTTTTGCAATAAAGTTCTACAATTAGATGTAATTAAAATACCTAACAATTATCCAAAACTATTTCATGTTACACCCTCATTGAATAATGATCTTTGTTTCAACACTGTGTTGGTGAACACAGGACAACCCATGCTTTCCCAAGAACACAGGACAACGTAAAGCATGGTCTCACTAAATCAAACCCAATGATAAGATTTGTAAAAATAAACATAGAAAATTGGTTCATGAAAGGCAGAAAAAAAATCTTTGCCACAATATCTGTGGGTAAGACAAGTTTGTTCCCTGAAAAGGGGCGATGTAGGGGACTTGTGGGAAGTACGGGTAAGGGCGTGGTGCGATCTACGCAATCTCTAGTTATAATGCAAACTGCTTACATTTCAACACTAACTATAACTGGCCAATAACATTCCACACACAAGATTTATGTACACCTATATACAATAATAGCATATTAGTGTAGCACCTTTATTCCACAGCATTATCCAGACATTTTGTCTCAAAAATAACTTATATTGTTTGGAATAGAAATATGACAATATACTAAGTCAAACTGACACTGTCCTTTCTGCTAAACATGTCTACCATAACAAGCCAAGCCATACATTAATCAACAAGTTTCAAGTGGATACATACCAAGGTTATTCATCTTTAGCAAATGGGGTAAAACAATTCAAGTTTTTTAAAAATAATTCCCCGGATATGTCAAATCTCTTATATTGCACATTTAGAAAGTCTTAGCACATGAAGAAACAAAAGCAGACGTTAGTATTTCCTATTTTTGCATAATAAAAAAAATCATTCAAAAGCATTTAAATTGAAAATGTGAATTCCCCCCCCCCCCCCCCAAATCTCTTATATTGCACATTTAGAAAGTCTTAGCACATGAAGAAACAAAAGCAGACGTTAGTATTTCCTATTTTTGCAAAATAAAAAAAATCATTCAAAAGCATTTAAATTGAAAATGTGAATTCCCCCCCCCCCCCTCCTTCATTTTCTCTCATTCACACCATGTTCCAGCGAAGGCCTTGTATCACAAAAAGGCTGCAGCAGCCTCAGCGTACTCAGTTCCCAACAGTCCCCTGCACAGCAGTGTGAATTCTTTTACAACATCCCTAGTTTTGCGTTTGTTCATTCGATCTCTGGAGATAAAAAAATATATTTGAATCAGCATGATGTAACATGAATTTAATAGCCAATATCCTTTGAAAGACCTTGAAACACTCATATCATAACCCTTTTATTCATCGTCATGTTTACATTTTAGATAATAAAATAGTAGCTTTGTGTCAGCCAAAATGTGTAGATTGGTAAAGTTGAAAGGTCATGTGGCAGAGGGACTGCAGCAATGACATGTTAAATTACCAATTTGATTGTGAATTTTGCTTGTTATCGTTAAGACAAAACCATTTAATTTATGAAGCAATGTGAGGGTTTCTTAGCTGCATAATTTTTATAAGGTATTCCAAAGATCACATATCTGACCACCCCTTTACTGTTGTACTATACACAGAAAAGGGCTTCAAACATTATTATTAAAGAATATTGATTCAATAAAATAGATATAAATGTATATCTATGGAATTCTTTTTTTACAATTGTTTTTTTTTAAAAAATAAATACTGACCTCAACAGGTTTTTGATGAAATTTTCTTTGTCTTGCTTAGAAGCCCTTGGGGAGGGATAGCCTTCATTTTCTACAATAGATTTTAGCCACAAAGCCAGCTGGCTGACAAAATGTTTGTTCAGTGCCATGATGACATCAGCGATATAGTCAATGATGCCCCTCTGAGATTCACCCCCTATAGCCTAGGTACAAAACATTAAAGATAGAAATTATAACTCTCTATTATTTTAGGGGGGACTTACTAACAAAATCTGCGGCTAAAATCTTGTTATTTCCAGTAAGTGTACATTACTTTAACGCCTGTCTTCACGAGTACAAAGATAAGTTACAACTACACAGTGAGAGTAAAATCTGCCAAAATAGTTTTTTAATAAGTCATTGAGACAAAAATAAAATAGTGCTCACTCTCATAATTCTGTCTATCAAAATGTGTCCATGAGTGATGACTATATTCTTAAAAACATCATTCTCTGCCCCAGCATTTAGGAATTCGATCTGTAATAAAAAATGAAACGTAAATACAATTTGAAGTTTAAACCTTTTAACACTAAAAGACTATCACTGACAAATTATACCCAGCTTCGTAGACACCCAGAATTATTGAAATTTACCACACTGATCACTTCCTTAAACTATTAAGACTTCTTTAAAAAAAAAAAAAATGCCAGCAGTATGTCTGTTCTAATTATTTAATAAATAATTATCATATTTATTAATATTTTTTGCAATTTCCCTTTTTAACCAAATTTATAGACAATTTTGAATGATTAACTAAAAAAAATTACACCTATTTTGTTTTTTGTATGAGCGAGATTTTTATTTTAAAAATATAAACATTTAAAATGTATTTTGGATGAAAGTTAAAAAAACTTAAATCTCCAAGTAAGGAACACACAGAACTTACAATAAAACTGCATGATGCTTTGACTGTTGCGTGTTCGGGCAATGTCATACTTAAGACAGCTGGAGATAAGAAGTAATGGAAATTCAAGTCATAGCTACATCTATTAAAAGCGCACAAGAGACTTTTAAATGGTGCAAACTTTTGTCTCTTAAACCTTAAAAAGAACAAATTAACAATAGGTAAGTTTATTAAAACAATAATAAAAATCTGTTAATAATGAATTATTCCCACAAACCTGCATGAAAAATTGCTGTTAGGTCACAGTTGCATTCTAGAATGATCTTTTTCAACTTCTTCATCACCTATGGAATAAAAGATTTTACAAGTTCAAAAGAAAATGCATTAAAAAAATTCATGAGCATTGAAACAATTTAATTATGTTATTGGGTTTCTTATCCAATAGTTTCACCAATGAACAAAGAAACAGGTTAAAGTATGTTTAAACTCAAGATTCCTACATGCAGTGAAAACAGGTGTGGTTAAAAGAACATACCTGGGCAAGGAAACACATAAAACCTTCTATCACATCTGTGAAATTACGCATGCCTGTAAACAAATAAGATTTAAAATGTAATTTTTAAATGACATCCAGGTAACCACATGAAATAGTTTCAATAATATCAATAAACTCTAATCTGGTATTTTAATATGATTACCTGCACTGAACATCTGTAAAGACCGAGTGCAGACATTGTCAACAATGACTTTAGAAAAAGGAATAAAATTTTCTTGCAAGCCAAATATCAAGAGCATCTGAAAAATAAATGGACAATATTTGCTAAAGTTATGGTACTTCATACAAAAGTATAAATGAGCAAGGTGGCAAGTTAATTCAATTCCATTAACAGAGATACAATTTATTGGTCTCATACTCATAGTTTGAATACAAAATGTCTTGTCCCTTCTCACAATTGGGTTAAGTAACAAATCAGGTTAGACAAACCTGTACTATAATTCACCCAGATTAATATAAATAGATTAACTAAATAATGCTTTCAGATGAGGTGTTGTATAGTTTAAATGTTTACTTGTTTGCATAGATCAATAATGGCCGTGCTTGGACATCTTTGATATAAGTTAATGGCCAGCTCAGTGAGATCCCCTGAGATGGGAGCAAAATCGTTGTCTAATTTTTGTAGGGCTTTTTTGTAGAGATCACAAACAGCCTGCAATGATAACATTTTATCAATAGAAGAAATGACATGAGCTGTTGGATGAAAATTAACTTCCAAACTTAGATGGGTGTTACATTACTCAACATCTGATCAGCAAAACAGGTGTTCTATATATAGATACATATGTACTGTAATAGTTTCTACATGAACTGCAAGACATTTTTTTCAGTGATGGCACTTTTATTGCTCACACGTAGTTAATGAATTGGAAAATTTCTTAACATAAGCACAACTAATGAACCAATCTGCAACATTTTGTCAAAATACTCACCTCTATTATACCAGTATCAAATGTCCAAGCATATGCAATTTTTTGAATTGATGGAGAAATCTTTTCAAGTACCACAAATATCTGAAAAAAAGGATAAATTTCTATGTTATAGTGTTAAGGTGTGATCAATATGCACGCCACTTAAAATATATTTTTTCTTAGAAAGTTCAGATTTACATTCAAGTCTTTCCATGAAAATATAGGACTGGTCGGCCAATTTAATTTTACCCATAAAACACTTACAGGTTTGGGCTCTGATGGATCCTGCTGTTGTTTTGCTTGTTGCTGATGTTGGTGTTCTTCATCACCACCCTCCAGTTCAGTGTCGAGAGAACCAAAGAGCCATGCAAAAATACTAACAGTTGTATGAACATCTGACCTATTGGAGGGACATGGCTGCAGGAAAGAGTAGGGAAAAAAATTCATCTCATGGTTCACAGCATTAGCTAGAAATAATTAAACCATTTATTGTACAACTAATTTTTCACTAGTTTTAGGAATATGATTATGATGTGCTTTTTTAAATACATATCATATATACTGATTATTATTATTACTATGTTAACTAATGACATAAATGATCAGTTGGTCAATAGGTGAACAGCCTATATATGACTATTTGATAATCAAGTTAAACAATGTTCAATGATAAAAAATAATGTAAAGAAGCAAAGTAGTTGGAAAAAAAAAATCTGTTGTCAAATAAGTACCACAAACCTGGGTTTCTGCAAGGGCAACAAGGTGCTCTACATGCGGGGTAATCATTTTGTCTAAATACTGCATTATTTCATGGGAGGACATCACAGACAGTATATGACCCACACTGGACATAAGTCGAAGCAAGTCTCTAGACTGAAAGAAAAAAAAGAAAATTTCATTTGCAAGACAGACTTTTAATTCAGATGTTACAAAAGAAAGTCTTGGTGCTAGTTTATCATGCAAATATGACCCCAAAAAATTGGAACATTTTAACAAAATCTTATAGCAAATAAAATGGTCTCACCTTCAAAACATTAGCCTCAAAACAACTCTGAAAAAAAAAAAAAAGATAAAACTTGTCAAGTAAATGTATTCTTTAACAATACTTTTCTTATATTATCAAATCAAATGTTTAAAATCAGAGTCATCCTTGTGGGCTTCAGATTTTTAAGGGGCCCAAAGTTGTGATGTGGAAAAAATTTAAAATATCAACTTTGAATATTGAGGGAAACAAAAGTAGCAGGTTGACTCCAAAGGTCAAGCAACGACTCTGGATAAAATAAGTGATCATAATATTTCCCATTATCAAATTAAGTTTAAGATAATTTTGTAACAAAACATGCTTACAAACCTGACAAGCCATCAAAATCTGATGTGCAAAAGGTTGAATATTGGACAAATTTTCTCTGGTGATGTCCTTTAAGGCTATTGTTGCTGCTGTCCCTACATCTGGATTGCTAATTCCTTGGAGCACAAGGGGCAAGACACAGCCCAGGGTCTCAGGGTGCCATTGCATCCACTCAGCAAATGAACCTAAACAAGAAAAGCATAAATTACAACATACACATTTTTTCACTCACACTATTTCTTTTATTATAATAATGGATTTGAAGGAAAATGCATTTGTAAAATTAAAAAAAATTTGGAGGCAATACCCCACCAACTTCATGAGTTACTTAAGCTCGATCGAGGCAAATTCTTTGCCTCAAAGTAAGGACTGAAAGATATAGAAATTCATTGTTCAATCTGTCAGAAAGAAGCTTATCCCCTGTTAAAAATAAAATAATCACTCTTGAAGTGAATATTGCCATTCAGGAATTGAGGCTTTTATGATATGTGATTGATGGCTGATTTTTGCACTTAAGAAAAACATTTATTTATGTCTTACATTTAAATTGTTCAAGTTTAAAAAATTGTTAGCTGGATGAACTAATTTTATATACGCAGGTTTTTTTCACTGACAAAATTTTTTATTTTTTCAAGTAATTATTTTTTTTTAAAGTTTACAGTTGGAAGAAAAATAAAAAAATAATTAACAATTAAAAGATTTTAATAATTTTTATTTGTTTTGCGAGTTCAAGAAACATGTGACATAACTCAGTCAGAGTTGCTATCTTAAATAGACTCACATTGACTTAGCAGTGCAATCACTATGAAAATGAATATTAATGGCGAAAATTTCAACAAATTTCTATCTGAATCTTCTGAGGAAGAAGATAATTGAGAGCCTGAATCAAGTGATAATGATTTCTATTTTTAAGAAAATTGTCCATCACAGCCAATGCAATAGTTAAATACTGGAATTTCATTTTTTTGTCAAGTGTTGCATCATTCTATGCTTTTATGAGTTTTCTTATTATTTGTATAAATGTATCTGTATAACTTTTGTTTTTAAGCATTTAAAAATATTTCAGATTTTTAAATTGAAATTTCTAAAATTGCATTACTTTATAATGTGTGAATATTTTATTACATTAGATAATAGTGAAGTCGTAATTCTTAGTGACTATTGCTAAGGAACGTAAATATTGCATTTGGTGCTACTTATGCTGATATATTCATCCTAAAGAATATGAAATTTGTCATCAATGTGTGTTGAAAATAAAAATATTCAATAATAAGTTTTTTAAAGTTATAATGGTATTTACAATAATGGGAGCTATAAAAACTGGAAATACAAGTGTAGTCACGTATTAGTTGGCATAGGCCAATATACTTTTTGTTCATTTCATCCCTCAAAATACCAAATATAATATCAGTTGTTCGTTTACTTTCAAAAATTAAACTCATATGATGTACAATATGATGACCCACCAGTTCCCACTCCTTAATTTCACCCAGTCAAAAAGTCAGGCTTACATCTGAGGTAAGAAATTTCAACAAGGGATACAGTGAGGCAGTTTATTCTTCCTGAAGTATTTTCGAGATATTTTTGACACTAGATTTGAAACATTTGTAAAATACAACAGATATTCATCTACCATGGAACCTTCTAAACAGTCGATCATCAGAGTTTGGTTGATATTTCAACATATGAATTTTACAAATTTCCTGGACCTCAATTGTACATGGCAGCTGTACAGGTCCCCAGTGTATAAAAATACTGGTCAACTTCAACACCCTACCATGGATTTTTGGCCAATTCCTCTTGTCCACAGATTTATTTAACATATGACATTCTTCAAAGTTTCTAATATTGAAACAGTAAATAAGAACGAACTACGCAAAGTGAATTTGGCAAAGTGAATTTGTTGTCTGATTTTTATAAGGAGAAAATTTAAAAAAAAAAACAACAAAGCAAGGTGAAGTGCTGGATATGAGATAAAGAAATTTTAACTGTTTTCAGTGTAGAGATAATAGAACAGTCTCTCTTATTTCAAATGACATAAAAGCAAATGGATTTATATTGTGAATAGAACCAAAACTGATGGTGCAATTTTTTGTTGTTGTTCATGAGTCGGAAGTCGATCATGACCACTTTAATCAGAGTTTGTGCTGTTCTGTCTGTGGGTGCGCAGATGGCTAATGAGGCCGATTCTGGCACGAAATTCTCTTGTCCAGTAGGTGCAGGGGAATGATGGCGCATCTCCGGAAGCAGAGACAGACCGGGCCTTCCTTGCATGTCTCTTTCGCTCTGCAGCCGCTGTTCTGCCAACTTCATGTTGTATGGAGCTCCCATGCAAAGTAGAACGCCATAAAGTTCGATCCTTTGCCTGTTCCTCCCACATGTCTGGGTTTATGTCGGACGCTTTCAGAGAGGCTTTTATGTTGTCTTTAAAGCGTTTTTTTCTGTCCGCAAGCAGACCGCTCTCCTTGTTCAAGCTTACCATAGAAAATTCTTTTGGGAAGACGGTCATCTGACATTCTCACATGTCCCGCCTAGCAAAGCTGGGACTTCATCAATATTGTGAAGATGCTGGGGAGACCTGCCCACATGGGCACCTCAGTGTCTGGGACCCTGTCCTGCCATTTAATGTTGAGGATTTTTCTGAGTCTTGTTGTATGAAAGTGGTTCAGCATTCTTGCATGGCGTTGGTAGACCGTCCACGTTTCACAGGCATAGAGAAGCGTAGGGAGAACAGCCACCTGATATACCTTCAGTTTTGTTTGAGTGTTGATACCTCTCCTGGTCCATACATTTCACTCATGTGTGGTGTTTAACTGTTTATAAATAGATATATTAACCCTAAAGAAACCAAGACAGCACTGGATAAACCCTTTTTTTTTCCATTTTGGTGACATTGCCAGCTATATCCTTCAGGATAGTTAAGAAGAAAATCCTTACATAGACAAACTAAAGCTACCTAATCATTAACACCAAAATTATTTCACAGAAGAACTTATTAGAGCATTAGGTGAATTACTACAACTGTTGTTACCAGTGCATCAATTGTAAATAACACAAAATACAATAGAACCCAGCCAATAATTTCTGAAAGAAAAGATTTAAAATAAAATTGACAAGTGTGCTAAAATATATCCAGAATCTAAAGTAGCACAAGTGACACTTACCTTTGTTAAAAAAAACAAGAAACTATCTAATAGAGTAACATAAAGTATTAATTGTCTACTGATTATTTTTGTTGTATATTAATAATTTTAAACAGGTAAAATAATCATAACCTTTAATTCTTGTGAATATTTTATTATTTTTATTATTTCCCTTTTTTGACACATTTTATTAAATTTTTTTATTTTGATAAAATGCTTGTACTTGTTCTGATTTCTTGACATGAATTACAGAAATGACTTTTGCTTTCTGAATAAAAAGATGTTTTTTCCCCTCTGATCACCAAAAAAATTTATTACACATTTTCATTAAACAAATTTGCATTATTTTCCTCACACCCACAAGTTTTGGAAACCAGCATTTCTATAAGCCTCATAAGCACTTCCCTACAAATTTATTTATAACATCATGCATTTTAGTCATAAATTCTTAAATTATTTAACTCTTTTGTAAGGTTACTTGAAATGTAAAAAAAAAAAATGTAAGGAATGTAAAGAGTTAATCAGAAAGTTTTTATCCATATGCTGAAAGTGACTTTATATAATGTGATCAAAAACACCTTTCCATTTATTTAAATCAATAAAAGAATCTAATCTTTTCTTTACTATCTTGTCTTAATTAGAATGTGAATTTCTAAAAAGTCATCTGTGCCAGACGGATGCCAAAAAGCAGGCCTGCTGCTACACCTATTCCAAGATGTATGAAAATATACTAACCAATCATGTTAAGTGCTGTTGATATCTGTTGGGAATTAGCAAATGGAATTTCCCGAAGTTGCATAAATAATTTTGGGATGTGAAGCTTTTCATCAGTTTGAACACTTTCTGAGATGGATGAAAATACAAAGAGAATGGCCTCCACATTCTGAAGATGTAAATTTAAACAGGATCAGTTATTTAATATGATTGTTATTCTAATGTGGAATAAAGAGTTATTTGTATCACTTGATGAATGATAAATATGGTTGTTTACAGATATAAACGTACAAATTATTAGCACTTTTGTTGCAGGAGTTACAAAACAGAATTATTACTTGAAAAAAAAAGAAATACAAACCTGCCATTCCTGACTGCCCTGTTTGTATTTTTCCACCAGAGAAACCAGACAATTAACTAGCTGGGCCAGCAGTTCGACACCAAGTATACTGTATGAATACATCTGAAGATTGAAATGAATGCTTGCTTGTTAGAAATTTTTAATAGTTTACATGAACAGATTTTACTAGCGTGCATTGGTTCAATTTATATATTGACATTTAAGACCCAGTTGTATAATAGCTGCAATTAACTCACCAGTGTGTCACCAATATCCTGTCTGTAGCATCTAAATTGTTCTTTTTCCTCTGGGATTGGATTTAAAAAATAAAATTATTAAGTTTCATTGTATAGCAGATGATCGATCTCAGGATAAGGATACATTTCAACATTTTATGAACTTACAACAATTATTCCATCAGTCCATCCCTGTGCTGCTACATCCAATGTAGGGCTTTGGCCTGCCTCACTATGTCCATCCACTCAGACCAAACATGTAGGACTTTGGCCTGCCTCACTATGTCCATCCACTCAGACCAAACATGTAGGGCTTTGGCCTGCCTCACTATGTCCATCCACTCAGACCTAACTAATGCTTTTCAATTATTCCTAATTCAGTTTATTTTATACCAACAAACTGGTCATAACCAAAAGTTTTTATTTTAACAACTAAAGCCACTCACTCCTCTTAGACATCTTAAAAATTATATAATATTTCATCTAATAATCTGACCAACTCATTGATTTACCTAAACTCCAAGACATATATTCAGCATCAGGAGGGTGCCGTGCCTTTATTAATAAAACATCAATCAAGCAGAAAAAAATGGGCTTGAAAACTTCCATCAAGGGCGTAAAGTCTTCCTCAGATATCATACTCAGCTCATCCTGCAGGGAAGAATTCAAATTAAATATGACCTAAAACAGTTCACTCAATGTTGTTTAAAAATAACAGATTCTTAAAATAAAATAACAAATAATTAAAAGTTAATACCAATATCAATGTACGATTGCAAAGGTGTATGTTTCAAAGTGGAGAATTATAATAGTTGTTAGTATTTTTACCACTAATACAAAAGCACAGTTAAACGTATACCTGTAATAAATACCAAAATGTAAAGGTTTGGTCACTACAGCTTTCATCCACTGGAAAATGACCTGGTAAACCTGAGCAGGCCTGTGAAATTAATAACAATTCAATTAGATAAATGTCTGATGAAACATGGGTCCTGGATTGCTGACAGTGATTGTATGAGGAAGAGACAAGTGGGGCATGTGCTCTGGGTGTCACAATGAAGGTGGAGCTTTATGGATGCCACACTGAAGGGGGTTAAAAACATAATTATCCATATATCCCCAGTAAAAAATGGAGACTTGTGCAAATTATTTTTAGATTCAAAATAAGAAAAAATAACTTTCAAATAATTTGTTATGAACATAATTAATTTTAACTTCAATAGGACTACCAAAAAATTGACTATGAAAATAGATTTCCCACACATTTACTTACTAATATCATCTGTAGTAAAGACGTTGTATTCTGTTTCACCTCTTCAGGTCCCAATACAGACTCCACTATAAGCTTTGTGTGATTCTCTGACAGAGATACAAGCACACGACAAATTCCTTCACACGTTTCCTAGTGTAGAAAAAAACACATTGATTCATTCATAGATATTCCAAACATGAAATTTTTATTTGACTCTTGTCAAGTGGAAGCCCTGGGTCACATTCTCTGGTCTGACAATCCTCAACTCCCTGGACTTTACAAATTTATAATTATCATTACAGCCTAAAATCTGTTCATATAAAAAATATTGAGTTTTTGTCTCAATAGTTGGGTTGCACGGATAAAAAAAAATTACCCACTTTATCTGAGTTTTTGTATTGACTCATATACATTAATTTGCTGTTGATTAAAAAAGATTTAACCATGTATGTATTCTTTTATAAATTGTGCATTCCAACTAAAACTACAAGTAATCTAATACAGTTATCTTATTAATTTTATGATATAATAAAACAACCCCAAACAACAAAGTTTTTTGTATAAATCCTTCATAAAATGTAATATTGAGCAATGGTGGGGGGCCTCTGAGAATTTGACAAAACACGCATTCAAGTAACGCACTTTATAAGAATCACAATTCGTGTCGCGCCCCCCCCCCCCCCCCCCCCCCCCCAATTTTTTTCACCCCCCCTGAAATATATTGATATTCAAATTAACCATCCGCTTTTACACAGCAGATTCGTTTCAACAAAAATTTCAGAGAAAAAATATAAAAAATATTACGAACCAAACGCACTTGCAATATTTTTTGAATAGGAATCTCATTAGCGCACAAAATTACATTTCTTTCATGTTCCCCTTGAAAAACAGGAAAAACTGATTTTAGCGGTCTGCAATGAGTCTATGTGCGAAGTTTCGGCTGGATGAGTTGATGGGAAGTTGGTCAATTAGCCGTCCAAAGATTTTTCAAGCCACCCATAAACAAAAGCGACATTAATGATTTAAAAATAATGAAAATATTATGTTAAATAAATAGCTCAGCTTGCATAACTGGATATGAGGCTCCAACAAAAGACTTAAGGCTGAAATAGGGAAGTCTCTTTGTAAGGAAGGCATTATGAATGCAATAAATCCTTTCTCTGTATTTAAAAACTATCTATAATTAATATACCAATTAATCTGTGCAACATAATTAACAGGATTTAAAATGTCAAGAAGAATAATTAAATAGATCAGCAAATATATCCTTCTTATCTAACAAGTGGGAAAACATGCAACATTTGAAAATACCTCTGTTGTCAGAATGGTTAAGTAAAGATAAAATAATTTCCCCATAAAAAAAACATTTAGGGGTTTTAAATTTAAAAAATTAAAATTACCTTTTTAAAAAGACTTTAAGAAGTGTAGTTGTGCACTCTATGTAGCCAAAGGATTCGAATTGAATGTAGTTGCAACGTACATATTTTTTGTTTTTATTAATTTTGGAAAAAATTTTCTCCACAGACTTTCTTTCCTTAATGCATTTTAATAAATTGTAAATTATCTACTATAGTGCGTTTTAACTCATCTTTGTTAGAAAGTTTTTTAAAATTTAATTTGTATTTGCAACTTCAGTATTAAAATTTTTATATTATCAACAAAAGAATTATTAATTAATTTTTTTTTTTAAATCTCAAAGATCCTATAGTAGTCATATGACCTAACACCCCCCCCCCCAAAACAAACGCGATGTTGACACAACTCAGATGCGTCCTTTCAGGTTAACATCAAACATATGATGAAATGAACCAAGCTCGCTTGCTTAGTCTCATGTGTAAACAAAAAAATTACACTGGTCAAGAGGGCAATACAAATGCGATTAGAAAGAAAGTCTTTAAAAAAAAAGGCATACTGCTTTAGGACTATTCTGAGCCACTTTGGTTTGTCTGAGCAACTTATAAGCAACATACTCTAACTTGGGATTAGAACTCTGAGATATATTGCAATGTCTATTTATATTTAAATACAGAAACCTGCTTGAAGGCAGTACACTCCAAAGAATTGAACTAAATCATTGAACTATATTATTATTTAAATAGTTATTCCTCTTTTGTAACTGTGACGAACTAAAATATATGGGAGAATAATAAAGCACAGTACCTTGTCTTCATCTTGCACAGCATGTGAAAGCAATTCATGGAGGGCCAATACTTCTGATAAAAGTCTTTGGATTGTAACTGGATATCTGCAAGCAAATATGATATGTTGGAAATGAGAACATGGATATCAAATTTTATTTAACGTGTAACCTAAAAAATCTGAAACTAAAAAAAATGTAAACAAAACTCAATGTAAGAATGTACAACACTACTTACTTGTACGACTCTGGATGTGCAAAAACACTGACCAATGTGTCACATGCTATATCAAATAAATGTGGATTGCGCAAGGATCGGAAAACCTGATGAATAGTAGGTATTAAAAATAACATGTATTAAAAATTACAACACACATATTTGGACAATCCATAACTATCCCTTATTATTTATATCTTTAAACAAAAATTTGTTTTAATTTAAGATCAATAACTTCAAAATATGATTTTTTGCTTGCGAATACAGTTAAATACGAACTTGATGGACAATGGGCTCTGCTCTATCCATTGCAAGACCAAAGTCAACCCATCTTGAGAATGCCTTTAGAGAGCTCTGGTAAACCTCTAGTGGGCTTTCATCTGTCAGCAGTGACTGCAGAAGTGGAATTACTAAAGAAAAATAAGGATTAATGTCTCTTTTAATTTTACTCCAAGCTAAAAAAAAGCAACATGGAGGAAATTAAGTAACTATAATTTTTTGACACCTTAATGAAACAATTGTTACACAATTAGATAATAACTTCTTAAAGAGAATCTATTATCTTTAGCAAAGGGAAATAAAGTAAAAAGGAGGTAAAGTGACCCAGACAATAGTTATAAAATGTACAGTCATCATGCAATAATGCCAGGAACATTTTGCCTTAGTTAGGTCTATTACAGCAGTGCTCATCATCTTAACAAACATGTACATGTGCTATCTTAATTTCAAATAAAATAATCATTTGAAGCAATAAATGTGTTAAAAAATCTACAAGTGATTATAACCAATCTATTACAAACATAGCATGTTTACATAAAGTTTACCAAACCTTCAAAGTGTGTTTTTCTAATACTGATGCTGCCCTGAGTGAAGTTAGTTGTACATTTCTATGCCACAATACATTTTAATACAGCACAAATTCTTTGTAATAAATTCTATAAAAACCATCTAGAGTCAAAAAAAGGAAGGACAAAAATAAATTTAAAAACCAATCCAAGATGTTATTGTAAGGGCAACCATCTACAGTGAATTATTGCTACAAGACGACATTTTAAATAATACCCAAAACTGGATTGTCAAATGGTTCTTTTCTTTTTAATTTCTCCAATTGGGAAATACAATATTGGAAAAAAACATTATTTTTTTTAAAATTTAATTATTTTCCTTAAGGTTTTGAACCTTTAAAAAACCAACCTAATTAATTATTTGGAATTGCTAATTGTCTCCACCTTTCTTCAACTTAAGCTAAACTAAGGTGTCTGGTAACATTTTTGTTTAGTTCAAGACATTAGTGATTTCATTTAAGTACATCGCCACCGAGACAAGACATAATGTAAAATTACCATGGTCAAGCCCCTTGGTTAGTTCTTGCCTCAAAATAGTCCTCCTTAGCTGAGGAAGATTGGTGCTGAAAAACTAAAAGGAGAAAAAAGGGGATGGGGAAAAGCAATACAATAGGAAAAAAAAATATTGAAAGACTTTTATGAACACTTTTGAGCCAGGGCTGCATCAATATAACTTTGATAGACTGATCAGATCACAACAATCAGTGTGGGTATTATGTGAACAAAATAATAAACATAGATACCTAGCTAAGGCTAAAAAATGCTATAAAATGACCAAAAATAGATGAGAGCAGCCAGAGGTTAAATGTGTTCATGAGCAGTAGTCAATATGTCAAGCTTACACTCTAGTTATTAGCAGGTCTAAAATAGTGAATGACGGTGAGGTCTAAATACATAAAAGAGGAAGCCTAAATTTTCCCATTTCCAGCTATTAAGAGGCTCTTATGTGAAAATGTGTGTCTTGTTTGGTGCAAGTAGTATATATACTGCAAAGATTCAGGTAGGCAAATGCAGTAAATGTAGGCTACATTGCAGTTTTATTTATTTTCCAATAAATCTACATAATTCAGATAATGTTTTATTCTATTGCAATATTTTTGTTCATTTCATGCCCAGTATGACTTTCTTTCTTTGTTTTTTTTGGCCTAGCTCAGTTACTTAATTTTATATTAAAATAACAACATGTAAGAAAATATCAATTTTAAAAAAGATATATGATATGAGTAAGTAATAAAAGAATGCAGCACACTCAAAGAAAACAAAATAATTGAATTCCTAACTAATAATATGACACGACCATAATAAAACATAACATGCACATTAGATTGACTGTCATCACATCAAAGCACTAAGAATGCCTCTTCCACTATTTCCATAAAACAAGAAATAAATGAATAAAACAATTGGAATATGTTGCAACATGAGCATGGCTACAACCAGGGTCGGCTATTTGAAGTTTCTCTTTCCATCCTGGCAACTTGTCAGCAATAATGACTCTGTTAAAATTCAGTCAGAACTAACAAACACCATTAAGCATGACCCAGGATGCATTTCGAGTAAAACAATACTAAAACATGTGGCAACTAAATTTGGGAGACCTTTCTAATGGAGGTTTGTTTACCACAAATTATTGTTAAGAGCAGATAAGTTGCTAACCTCTTCTGGTAGCACTGTGAGTACCTCAAGCAGAATCTGGCATCTTGTCACTGTCTGAAAAAAAAATAAAAAAAACTTTTTATATAGGTTACAATTATTTAAGTTGAAACTAATATTTTAAAAATGTTTTTAATGCAAATGACAAAGACAGCAAGCTTTAACAATATTTAATAAATATATTCACTGGTAAAGCAGCAAATCCCTCTTGTTGGAATGTAGTTATAAGATTTTGGATTGCATCTGGCCATTTTTCTGGAAGAAGTTGAAGTACTAATGCAGAAAGCTGGAATATGTGCAAATAATTATCTGTTATTCTACGCATCATAACATACGTTGATATTAATAACAGGATTTACAATAAATTTTTTTATTAATAAAGCAGCAACAAAGCATTATTAAGCAAATTTTTAAACAAGAAGACCCATAGGTTATTTTAAAAAATAAATTTTTACACTTATTTCACATATCATTAGTTGTTTAAACTTACCCCAACACATAGTCTAGTAAGTATAATTTTAGGACCTAATGCGAATTGTACAACTGTTTCAAGCAATTTTGACTTGAAAGATTCATACTGTTCTGATGGAATTTCATGCCTATGAGAAACAATTATAGAAAATAAGCACATGTGTCTTTATATTTTGATGCTATTCACTTATCAGAATATAAGAACTATATTAATTTATTAAAATAATAGGGATTGTTCATCATGTCATTATAAATATCACCAAAGGACCTAATAATCTTCATCTTTTAAAAAGGAGCTCAGAGTTATCGAATTAAGTGTTTACCAGAATCTGACAATTTTAACATGTAAACAACTTGCACCATAATACTGCACTTCAATCCCCTGAAAAAGACAGGAAGCAAAAGATAATAAATAATTTTAACAAATACCAATTGATGCATACTGTTTATTAATAAACCCATGACCAATTGAAATAGAAAAATTATCATCTATTGCCTAATGGCAATATTTTAATAATAATGTATAATAAATGAAAACTATATGAGAGCCATTACGAAGAGGATTATTTAGTTTGTGAACAAACCTTATTAGGTGCCATTAATTCCCAACAAAAGGACCAAGCTGCAGGGGATATCTGTGCACCTGTAAGCCAAAAGTGGACTTCACTTTGAAGACTTGGATTAAGATAAAACTGCTTGACTGCCTGCAACAAAAACAAACAGAATCAATAATTTTTTTTGTAACTTATGATAATTTTTATTAGTATTTATGTTTATGTAATAGCCTGTATTTTGGAAAATTTTAAGATATTTTTTTATTTATTAGAAAGTGATTTTTATAGAATGTAGAGCTTATAGCAGCATTCTGTAGATAAAAATACAGATATATCTGTTAGGTCTAATTGTCACAGGACTACCTTACAAAATACTTACTGAAAAACTTAGTGAATTGGGTCTAATTAATTTACTTTTACTTTCAGTACCTGTTCTACATTAGCTGCTGAGTAGTCCATAATTGAAGATATCTTAAAATCTTTTTATCTGTTAAAATCCATGAAAAATAAACATGAAAAATAAACATTAAAAATAACAAACAGATTGAAACAGAAGAAGTCAGTATGAATGATTAATAAGAAGATGAGTATGACATCAATTTAATTTACGGAAAGTGTCTAGATGGCAGTGCGTGAGTTAAGTTGGGATCACAATGTTATAAGTATTTTTAGATTCAGACAGGAGAAGATGGTCAGTCTCAGTGTGAGTGAGTCAGTAAAAAATGAAGAAACAAAAATTGAAGACAAAACGTTTTGTTTGTGATGCAGACATCTTTTATGGACAATGTCTATCCAAAGCTATCACGTGACTTGGTAGGCCCCCTGTCAATTTTTGGTTTTGTGCCCCCTGTAGTTGATATTTTAAATTTGTTCCACATCACAACTCTAGTCCCCTTAAATATCAGCCCCAGGTGTTTCAGGGCCCAGACGACAGCTTTACCCTTAACTCACACCCAGTATGGATTGATTTTTTAACAAAACCCCCTTGAAATAGCACAGACATTGTGCAACAGTTTCTGTGAGACAACATTGTGTTTTACCCTACGACTACAAATAGCACAGGCAATGCACCCTGGAAACAAATTTACGTCATGAACAGGGTTAACACAGACTTATTGCTTTGCTATATAATCTGCTATTGCGCTGTGTGTTTATAAAATCATGACATTTTCAAAAGATTTGCTACAAGACTGAGGGTCGTGAATGAACACATAAAAATAGAGAAAGCAAGATAGTTGAAATGACAACCATGCACATAATATTCAAATACCGGTATTTTGTTTGGAAGTTCGTAGCAGATTCATGAAAAGCTGTAGGCTAAAACATGACTACCTTTACATGTAAAAGTAAAATGTAAATTAACGGCATGAAGAATGTTTATGTTTAAATACCATAAAATTTCGCTTAGTATTCAAAGTTGTTCTGTGGTTATTTTACATGTAAAACACATCATACATGCACTTTCTGTTTGTCTTCTCATTTGTTCTTATTTTTACTGTACATATGTCTTCATCTTTCAAATTATGGAACATGATCATCATACTGGCTGAATCTTGGAAAAGAACATCACTGCAACTACCACCACTTTTGCTTTGGTCCCAAGAGTTTGTGCTAATCATTGGTTTCATTGTAAAACACCTTTGGGAACCGCAGACATGGCTTATCTGACTTAACGTAATTTGATGTCTTGTATGTGTTTTAAGGCCGGCACATCTTGTTCAAGTTTAAGCACTTAATAAATAATTGGTACATAAAGTATAATAATTAAAATATTTAAAGTTAAAACTTATAATTTCTGTAAAAAAAAAAAGTAATACTGATACAAATGAACATATTATTATTATAATAATATAATTATAAAATATATATTTTTAAGAAAGAGGAGAAAAAATAGGCCTAGTTAGTAAGGCTCGATCAGCATCTGGGAATTAATCACAAAATATGATATCACCAAGGGTCGTTGAAGCGTTTACACTGTTAAGTCTACTACCACAAGACTGACAAGACTAAGACCATATGATATATGAAGACCAAGCCCAAGCCAATGATGGTTAATTTTTGGACCGCTGTACGCGGGCCAAGGTCCATGGTTTTGCTAGGTTCACCGCCACTGTGTACGCAGGCCTAGGGCCATGGTTTTGCAAGGTACACCGCTGCGGTGTAAGCAGCACTTTCGAAAAAAAAAAAGCTGGGGTAGCCACACATTGAATAATTCAGTTTCAGTGTTCAGACCTGGGTAATCAAAGAGGAGTTAGGTCCTTAGGCATAACTAAGTTGTGTTATTTAAATAATACTAATAAGCTTATGCTTAACTAGTAGGTCTAATTTTTCTATAATTTACTCCACCAAAATTTGATTTTAGGCCTACGCCTAATCGGCCTATTACGAACTAATCGATTCGATTATTCGTCGATAATTCATTCAATTCAAATAGACCTAGACGCCTGAATTGAAGATTATTTACTTAGGCTCAAGTAACTACCGAATAGCTCTCCATTCCATGTACCTAAGTGAAGCCCCTAAAAAGATGAAATACCTTTAATTTTAAGAAAATTACCTAATTTTATTCCTTCTGCGACTGAGAAGAAAATGAACCTAACAAACTTAAGCTTTATCACTTCCAAGTCACTTTGACGCCATCTTGAAACATTCCGAAATCTCATACCCCAAGTAAGAATCTTATATTTTTACCCTGTCTAATCGTCTATCGTGACGTAAAAGGATTTCACCCCCCCCCCCCCTTGGCTCGTGGCCATAATGGAAGAAACGTAGCCCCGCTCCCACTGGCTCATGGTAGTTAACCAGATAATCAAGATTTTAATGAATCTGATGGATTGTTATGTAAAAATCAACCCCCCCGCCCCTGCTTGGAGTAATGTAGGCTGTAGGCACTGCTCTAATAAAAAGCGCACCACATTTTCCCAATAGGCTTTAACATTATCAATATATACCATGATTATTATCTATGAGTTGAGGAAAATTCTTAATAGGAAGAAAAGGAAGTAGTATCCTTGAAATCTAGCACATAAAATTAATAACGGATAAAGCGAACCTTGAGTTAATGAGTTCATGATGCATTAACCTAAAAAGTGAAAGTTAATGAGTTAATGTAGTGTAAAAGCTAGAAATTTTAGTAAATTTTTTTTTAATCTAAAAGAAGCTATTTTGATCAGTAATATGTTTAAACAAATTTTTTGGGCAGAAGGGCTACAAAATTATTAATCAGTCATATATTGTTAAATAATTGTGTAGCCTGTCTGCCCAAAAATCAGTCATATATTGTTACAATGACGTTATCGATTAAATTTATTGAGTAGCATACATTAAAATTAACTATATTGCCCCGCAGCAATGGGAGAAAAAAAGAAGTCTAACCTTGCCATTTATGAACAAAAATATTATTTCAACAAGATGTGGCTAATATGCAATACTCAATACATTTGATCTCAAAAGATTATATACTACAGTAGTTTTGAAATATTCATGTAAAATGTAAATCCTTTTCTCCACTTCGAAAAAAAAAACACCCCAAAAACCAGCCATTTAAAATAAAAAATAAAACAAAACAAGGGAGGCAGGGCTGGTTGATTTGACATCGTTTTTTTTTTAAAGTTGCGCTAAAATTAATTAAAGGCACCAAAAAAAAAAACCAATTTGAGATACGTAAAGGGGTCCTAAATATTTGTGAATAAAGAATTAGATGCTAAACTAATTATTACGAATAAGACAAGAGATTGCTAATTTTGAAGTCACCTCCACAGGTGAAATTATTGTCTATCTGTAAAAAATATAAATAGTTACAGCAGAATATCAGTTGCCCTATTGCTTATAGAGGGCAACATGTACACGATAGCCTACAATTACAAGCAAATAAATACTATAATATTTATTCATTTTAGGTCTAAAGCAAAATACTTTAAAAAGTAAGTTTAATTGGTTTGAATGGGGCTTGGGCTGTTTAGTAAACCATGACGTCATATTTAAAGAGGCATACCGTTCTAGTCATATCTTTACCTAACATAAAGTCTAAAGAACATGTAAGCGTACAGTTTCCAGCGACCGTCCATTGTTTACAAAATGTATGAAATATAATTTCAATTCTTTCAAGAAGCCAATTTTGATATTAAAGCATAAATAATAAAATTTGAAGAAGGAAATAAATCAGGACCGTGAATTTTCTTGCTGTCCTTTGCTCGACGGCAACAGCTGACATGAGCATCTCACCCCCCCCCCCCCCCCCCCCCCCCCCCGGATGGTTTGATTTCCCCATCACGGTGGACAATTTTAGTGTCTCAATTCCCTGAACAAGTGCCAACATCATAAACATCAACTCTACGTGAACAATAAAATGGCCTATGACAGTATTAAAAGAAAATATCTATATGAGACTGCACGAGTTTGTCATACCCAACAAACTGACAAGACTGATACCGTACATGTAGCATTAAACAACTGAAAAAGCAAAATCAAGGTTCAGGGAGAATGTTCAAGAGAATTTGAGATTAAACGAGGTCTAAGACAAGGAGACTCACTGTTTGCCATTTAACCTAACACTAGAGAGCTTTATAAGAAACATACACATTGACACCCGAGGAACAATAACAGAGTAGTTTCTGAGGGAGACAAAAGACTCACAACCGATAGACCGATAGGCACTCTCTACAACCAACCCCTTCAGTATCTTGCATGTGCTGATGACATAGCAGCGTTAGGGACAAGTAGTAAAGACAATCAAAAGACTTTTTTGAATTAAAAGAGGCATGTCTTCAAGCAGAGCTTGGAAAAAAAACAACAAAAAAAAAAAAAACATGAATATTTTAAGAGAAGAAAGACAGGTGAATCCATTATAATTAGAAACCAGACTTTTGGAAAAGTAAATCGATTCAGATACCTCGGATCTTTATTCAATGAAATGAATGAATTACGAACAGAATGAAAGAAAGAACATTGGCCGGGTAAAGAGCTTCCTTCAGTAGTAAAAAAAAACAATTCAAAAGTAAAAATATTACAAGAAAAACAAAGAAAACTACAGTCGAATCTCTCATAACGAGTTTAATTCGTTCCAGACTCCTACTCGTTAAGCGAAACACTCGTTAAACGAAACAATTTTTCCCATACAAATCAATGTAAAATACGATAATGCGTTCCATGATGAAAAAATAATAATTTTTCAAAAATTTTATTAACATTATTTTTAAAAAATTACTTATGAATTGTTAAGGAGTGTAACAACTTGGAATATAATTTAGATTTGAAACAAAAAAACTAAATAAAAATTTGAATTTATGACTAATAATTAATCCTTTTAACTAGAAAACTGTCTAAAGACATTTGTTTTTGCCGACGCTTCCAAATTTGACGAAAATGTATCACAGCATTATCATTGAATAAATTTGTAGCACGAATAGCCACGCTCACACCTTGCTCTCACTTTTCAATGATTTTACGTTTCATTTCAACAGTTATTTTTTCTCTTTTATGATTGTCTTCTTGTGGTTTGTTTTTTCGAAGACATTTTAGCATAGGTTTTTACGAATACTGTCTGAATACAAAATTTGTAAAAACTGGTGATCATCCACGAAAACAATACGCTAACAGACCGAGTGCTAAACACAGACTAATGCAATGGTTCTCAACCTTCCTAGTACTGCGACCCTTTAATACAGTTTCTCGTGTCTTGGCGACCCCCCAGCAACCTAATTATTTTCGTTGCTACTTCATAGCTGCAAGAATGTGTGTTTTCAGATAGTCCAAGGCGACCCTTGGGAAAGGGCCGCGCTACCCACCCCCCCCCCCCCAAGGGGTCACAACCAACAGATTGAGAACCGCTGGACTAATGCATCGGAGCGGAAGCCCCGGCTCACAAATGAATGTCAGGAAAATTGTGTGTTTTCAGATAGTCCAAGGCGACCCTTGGGAAAGGGCCGCGCTACCCCCCCCCCCCCCCCCAAGGGGTCACAACCAACAGATTGAGAACCGCTGGACTAATGCATCGGAGCGGAAGCCCCGGCTCACAAATGAATGTCAGGAAAAAGGGACTTCCCCTTTCTGCGTAACTCGTTATGCGAAATATCGCTCGTTAAGAAAGCAACTTCTTCACATTTTTGTGCTCGTTATGCGAATTACTCGTTATGAGAGGTTCCACTGTATATGTAAAACTGTAATCAGACGTTATGAAGTGAAAATTGGACCCTAACAAAAATGGCAGAAAACCTATTAAACACACGGGAGATAAAACAAGGATGAATATGGATGGAGAATACGAACTAGGAATAGTATTGTCTATATAAGGATCCCCCGCTAATTGCAGAAATAAAACAGGGTAGGCTACGCTCGGCTGGGCACTTAGAAAGAATGCCAAATGACAGAGGAGTGAAGAGGGTGCACCACCAAAACCCCAAAGGAAAATGGTTTAGATGGATGGACGATGTGGGAAAAAATCTACACCAGCTGGGAATCCAGGCATGGAAAAGAAAAGCACCAGTTAGGTCTGCGTGGATGACACCAGCCAATGTAACATGACAGGACGACACCAGCCAGTGTAACGTGACAGGACGACACCAGCCAGTGTAACGTGACAGGACGACACCTGCCAGTGTAACGTGACAGGACGACACCAGCCAATGTAACGTGACATGACGACACCAGCCAATGTAACGTGACAGGACGACACCAGCCAATGTAACGTGACAGGACGACACCAGCCAATGTAACGTGACAGGACGACACCAGCCAATGCAACGTGACGGCACGACACCAGCCACTGTAACGTGACAGGACGACACCAGCCAATGTAACGTGACAGGACGACACCAGCCAATGTAATCAGTCGAGACAAGACGACACCAGCCAATGTAACGTGACTGGAAGACACCTGCCAGTGTAACGTGACAGGATGACACCAGCCAGTGTAACGTGACAGGAGGACACCAGCCAATGTAACGTGACATGAAGACACCAGCCAGTGTAATCAATCGAGACATGACGACACCAGCCAGTCTGCACACCAACACATTTTTCTGCATGGCCATGATCGTTTTAAATGATCTTTTGAACAAAATGGTCCATGATTAGACCTACGCATTCCAAGCACTTAAAACAACAAGACAATTCACGTATTGTTCAACTCAAGCGTACACCCATGAATCAAGTTCAATTACATAAAGAGCAATGGTAGGCTACTTGCCAATATGAAAACGTTCTAGCTGGATACCTCCACACCTACCTGCTGTCACCGGTGTCAATATGGATAAAAATAGCACACTAATACAAGATTAATGGCAGTTCGCAACCTTCTGTCACTAAGCTGCTATCCTGTTTTCTAAAGACTGCCAGGCCAAGCAGTCTAAATACTGTAGAGTACGTATTAACCCATAAAAGTGTCTATGTATACATTCTGCCCTTCAATCTCATTCATCGGGTTATTGGCATAGAGGTCTAGCAAAGACATACAGCAGTAGGCCTAATGAAATAATTGCATTTGGTGCTTTTAAAAACAAGCCGAGCTGATCTAATTAAATATTAAAATTAACTGCCATGTGTAAGGATAAATTTTCTCATATTTGTGTCCCAGGAAATAATTGTCCGTCTGCGTACGAATAAAACTACCCGATATGTGCGCCCAGACACAATTTGCAGTATGCGCGTCCCCATACATT